TTTTTTTTTTTTTATAATATCAAACAAATATTCATTATATCGTATCTTTTATTTCTACATCTAAATTTTCTTTTTCTTTTTTTTTTATACTAAGCGAACGATAAAGAAAAATATCACGAGACGAAATAATCTTCTCTCCGCTGATTTTTAACGATCCATTAACTTAAAAATATTTCTTTCAATCGTGTTTTCGTGAAGAGGCGAAGCCACAGCTTGCGCGAAGATACGGCAACCGTAACCGAAAATGGAGAGATCAGGAGAAGAAACGTGGTTATTTGTTTATTCACCGTTTCTGGTTCCGTCCTTCGAGCTTCGTTCCATTTTGAAATATTAAGGAACAAATCATCGTCGATCTGACGTCAGGAGGAAACCGGCGGATTATCGTGTTCAAAGCTTGGGGAGCTACCTTGGCCCGACCGCTCCCGGGAATCCTCGGCATGTTCTTCGAAAAACATCCAGAATTGTCTTGGTCGCGTTAATCCTGCGCCCCTGCTTTCCGTTCCTTAAATCATCCCGATATATAAGTAAAGAAAAACATTTATAGAAGCCGCAGAAGCAGATGGTAAAAATAATTTTCGTCTCGAAGGAAAGTCACCTCGCGTCATCGTATCGATAAAATTGAATTATCCTTCGATATAAAAACTCTTCCAAACTCTTCTCTTTCCTTTAAAAATCCTTTTCTCTTTTTTTTTTTTTTTTTTTTTTTGTGAAAAAAAGAAAGAGGAAAAAGTAAGGAAGATTAGAGATATTAAAGGGGGGAGGGAAGAAGGTTTAAGCAAAGAGGAGAAAGTAGTCTCTTTCTTCTTGTTTTATTTACAGATTCGGGCAACCGCACGAGCGTTTCCTCTTCATTGGCGAAAAATGGCCCGCGAGCGCAGGCGGTCTTGTTTGCGGATTGCGTTCCGTTTTACTGCCCGGTATCCGCTCGAATCTAAACAATCGTTCCTTATTGACAAAATCGGCGGGCGTCTGCGGGTTTAGCCGGTTTCGGATTGTTGCCACTGCGACGTTTTACGAGTGTGGGAAAATTCACAGCGCGAGCAGAACCTCCGGGGCCCCGGCTCAATTGCAAAAAATAAACGAACCGCCCCTTTCGTGACGGCGAATTTTCTCGGAAATAACCGTTACCCGTCGTTAAAATGGACTCTGGTAACGAGTAACGCGGGATCGAGATGTTTGACGATCGAATTTATCCCTTCTCTTTCTTCCTCTTTTTACACAGTATATATTATTGGAATATATGAACAACGTCGAATCGAGATCGAATTTTTCCCATCTCTTCCTTCTCTCTTCCTCTTTTTGGACAGTTTATATTATTAAAATATAAAAATGGAATAACATCGAGATCAAAATGCTTGAGATCCAATTTTAGATTAGAAGATTTTATAAATTTTTTTAAGGAGAGAGAAAGAGAGAGAGAAATTGATCAGTGAAAGAATAACATACGATAAAGTATAAATTTATGTATGTAGATGTTTTCACTTATTTATTTTACACGAATTTTAATTTATTTCTGAATCCCCCATTTCGTAGTCGTTGTACGATTTGATCTCTTGAAATTTGATTTATTGTTCCGTGAATTTTTCCAGTATCCTTCCCATTGCTGCTGGATTGTCCTTTGGTACCTGTGCGACGGAACAATTTTTATAAATGACACGATCTCTATAATGAAGAATTGAAATTTAATCATTTATAGTTATTTACCATGTGACCGGCTCTGTTCACCCAGTACATGGCGAAATTGTCGTAAGATTTCTCATAACCTTCTATGATCTCCTGCACCACTAAGGGATATCTGGAAGAATATTGCCACAAATTTGCGTTTTTCCAATTCATCTTCTCAACCCAATTTAAAGTTCCTATATCATGGATAATGAAAAAAGAATAAAAAAATAAAAAATATTAGATACTAAATTAAAAGAAATATATATATTATATAT